AATGTCTGTTTTCCAAATAAGGGTGCTCAATTTCAAAACTTGCTATGAAATGTAGTCTTTGAAGTGCTTCTGTGCTTTTTATGAGTGTGAAATGCCTGTATCTTAATTAATAGTTTGAAATGTATTTCGAGTGTGTATTATTAGCTTAAAATGTATGTATTTCATAATCACCAATGTTAAAGATTTGTCAGCCAATAAATCACTGTTGTTTTACTTTGGTTGGCACATGAGGAATATGAATTCTACTATCTAGAAAGTGTACATGATTTATGTTTACTTCATAAATATTTGTTATTTGTGATAAATAATAATTGTGATTGAATTACTTTTCTTGAGCATACATGGAGCTCACAAATGTTTACTGTCTGTGAATTTTTAATCGCAAATATTGCGTGTCTATAATCACAGATACTACGTATTTGTAAATGCCTAAATACAGAGACTAAGTAAATTCTTCGGTTAAAACCGTTAACTGCTTGTAGAAGTGAATCCCATAGTCATAGATAGCTAATGTGTTGGTTGGAATGTATTGTTAGTTTTGATTTAAATTTGCTTCTTGCAGAGAATGACCGAAGTCAATATTGGTGATGGAAAAGATGGAATCATCACATGTCACTAGAATTTTTTATTCTGAAATTTTGAAGGATGTAATGAAAGTATACAAAGTTTGGGGGTGTTACAATTTTGGATGTTCTTAGTTCTTTTGCTTGCTTTAATTGTGGAATTGAAAAGGAAAATTTAATTTTGCTTTGTTTGTTTCTCATTCTTGAAAACAATATCTCATTGTGCTATATTATAACTTACACTTTATTGTAACTACATCTCCCCCTTTTTTACTATATCTAATTCTTGGCTCTTTGTAGTATTATTTGTTGTGTTTTATGGTTACATAGACAAAAACTGTCTGTAATTCATCAAAAACAGATTTTTATTGTCTATGTAAAAATCAATTAAATATACCATGTAATGAAACATAAAGAACATTTCACAAATTCTCTATATTGTAAAAAAAATTACAATTAACACAGCTTAGCTACAGTGACATAGACACTATATATATATCTAATTTTTGATCAAGAACATTTCATCAAGACTATCACAGACACTAGATGTCTATAATTTCAATGACACAGACGGTAGATGTCTATGTGATAGATAATTACACATACAAAAACATACTTCGTACCAAATACCAAGTATCCAAAAGATCATATACCAACATACTATTCAAATAAAAAAATGGTTTGGTTGATGGACATCGACAACAACAATAGGTGAGAGATATCCAACAACGGTAGGTGAGAAACACCCTCCGGCTAGAGCACCGGCAACGATTTAGAAGAAACCCAACAACGGCGGTGTGCAGGGAAAGCAGGTAGGACGCGATGAATTTTCGGCGGCGAGTTGTAGTGGTTCGACTAATAGTGTAAAAAAGAATCAGGCGAATTTGGTCACGCAGACATGCACTATAAGTTTGTGACTATTCAAACACAGACATGTAATATATGTATTTAATGTATGAAAAGTGCATTTGTCAAATATACCAAATAATATTTCACAATTTCTTCTTATATTGTAAAAATAAAGTAAATATGCACAAAGTAATGTTTGGTCAAATAGACAATAAGCAATTGTAATTCATTAAAAACAAATGTTTATAGTCTGTTTAAGCTATATAAAAATTAATCCAACAAATATACACATAATGGGGCATAATGAAAATTTCACAAGTTTCTCTAGATTGTAAAAAAAAAGCAATAATTACCACTGTTTAGTTACATAGATACTAAATATATGTAATACTTGATACATAGACATTTATTATCTATGTAACCTGAATGAAAATTTCACTCGTTAAATATGCCAAATAATAGAGTATCAAGAGCATTTCACAAATTTAATTGTGTTTAAAAGAAAAGAAAAAAACAACAATCAACGTTGTTTAGTTACACAGGCACTAAAGCTCTGTAATTGTTGGAACATAGACATTTGCTGTCTGTGTACTCTGAGTGAAAATTGCACCACCATCTCTGCCAAAATCAACTACTCCGGCGACGTTGTTGAAGACGAAGAAAGTTGCAGCGACGATCATAGAGGAGTGGGCGACGACGGAGAAGCAGGTGGCGGCGAAATAATTGAAGGCGTGGTTCGTCGCCCTACTTCGATCCAAATCTCCACGGCGACAACGACGATGATGGCGGCGTTTTGACGCTTCTGGGCGGCTGCGGGGAGCCCACGCTGTGCAACTTCCAGGGGGCGCCGGGTGGGAAGATATATGGCAACGGGGAGTTATGATGTATGAATTAGATCTACGAAAAGTTGAAGAAAAAAAGAAGAAAACCGAAGGAGAGAGATGGAGAGATAAGATTGAGAAATTGGATGGGAAGAGAAAAAAAGGGAGGGGAGTAGGGAAGAGGGGAGGGAGGAGTATATGGTGTACGCACATGGGGTACACAAGTGGTGTACCCCTAGCGGGACTCATTTGAAATACAAGATTTCTAAAGGGGTTGCATGCAAAAGGGTAGAATTAAGCTAGGGGTACACCAACATGGGGTACCCCAAATGTACACCAAGCCAACACAGACACAAAGTGTCTGTGCAACACAGACACTTTTTGTCTGTGTGTGTCTGTGTTGGCTTGGTGTACACTTGGGGTACCCCATGTTGGTGTACCCCTAGCATTGCCCAAAAGGGTATTGTATCTCAAAAGCTGTTAGGTGTCGCCGCCAACATCCTGACGGCCACGTCTGCCATAGCTGGCCACCTCAAAGGTGTGGTGGGGAATGCTTGCCGATAGAGAGAAAGGAGAGGGGAGATCGAGAAATGAAGAGAAGAAGCTTTCGAGAGGTGATGATGATGATGATGATTAATAATTTCCTTCATTATTATAATATTAGTAATCATCATCATCATTATGACTATTATTACTCTACTACTACTACTACTCTTCCCTCTCTTCATTTTGTTTCTTCTCATTTCACTTTTCATGATCAATTCTTTTAACATTGATTGTAAATTATAAAAAAAAAATATAATGTATTAAAACATAAATTTAATATCAATCACTGAATTTTATATATAATTTTGAAATATCATATTCTTATAACACATATCTATATGTAAAAAAAAGATAGTAATTGTCACCCAACGGGGGCTGGGAGGGCATTTGGGAGCGGGTAGGGAGTAGAAACTATTTCCGTTATTATTATTTATTATAACTATAATAGAAAAAGAAATGATAATTGCACTCAGAGGTGTCAACGAGAACATTGAACAGACCACACCATACCCTGGGAAAATATCCTTGTCCAAACCACAACAGAAGACACTGCATAATTGCAGACAATAAACATCTGTTTTTGAAGCAATATATATAAGGAAGACCAGTTCAGTCATGTAAAAATAATCCCTTCACATACGACTTCGTAAAGGAAAGGTTTCGCACCAGTTTAAAAAATGCATCTGGAAAAAATATGTTTGTGCAGCAAGAAATGGGAGGGCAATCATGGTTTCATTAGCATGTTCTTGACATAATTCACAACTTCATCCACTTCGACAGTCCATGCCACTGAAACCGGGGAATAGCCCGACCACGGGTTGCTGGAGTTCCATCTGTGTGTATCATCATCAAAGTGCAATAGATTGAAGCTTGAGTATGAATGCATATTGAGTAAGTTGTGAATAACCATCAAAATAGGAGGGGACAAAAGAGAAAATTACTTTTTTAGCCCTAGGTCCATGAGTGTGTGTCCTGCACAGACGCCCTGAGTTTCAACTCTCACCACCCCCTTCCTGAATGAAAAGAGATCGGGTCGGACCAGTGCCACGAAACTGACCGGGTCGTGAAGGAAAATTCCTGAAAATGGCATTGATCAATGGTGAAGGATGTGGATACATATTTACAAGTATTATTTAGATGCATAATAAATCCCATTTTTAAAAATCTCATTAGATTAGCTTTTTCATTTATGTTGAGTTTACAACAGAATCGAGTATAATCTCATATTTATAGGGGTTTGGGGCCAAGATGTACCCCTATAAGAAACAAATGGGCTCTTTCTATTAGACCCTTGAAACATTACTGCATTTACTACCCAAAACTGCATAGAAAACAAGAAGCAACCGAAGTTTAATGTCATTTTGATGTAGTCCATTACTTATCTGAAGCTAAAACATTTTCAATTTAGCTTCATTGGCAGTGGACATTGATTCATGTTGAGTTTAAATCCAATAGTTCTCTTATATATTTATAAAAAAAGGTTCTCTTATATTAATTGATAGAATTTAGAATGAGGTAAGGATCACTGGATTGGGCCCTAAGACACTTTGGTTGAACCACATCAAAAATTGAATCCATTCAATTACTTAGTTCAACTCAACAGCTTATATATCGATTATTTTTTTTTCACATTTTTTATTGTTCTAATGTGGGATACTCTCTAACATTAATATTGTAAATTTGTAATAATCTTTAGAAACTATGAAGTCGCAAGTAAAAAATAAACGAGTAATTTTGCTATTCAGCAAAGGAAAGGCGAGGCTCGAGAGGAATTGGATCGAAGGATACCGTGGATTCCATCAGACATGACATGCCAATCTCGATAGAATTTACACGTGTCACATATGAACTGAGCATATCTTCCTTTTGATTGCCTCAGTTTATCAAGGTCAGAATCTGAAAGGATAACAAGCTTGATTAGAAGGAAAAAAATACTTGGCAAGGAGGAGTTGCCAACAAAACAAATTAGGGATGAAGGAAAAAGCACCTGTCAATTGGACTTGTGTGGTAATGTTGATGCCAATAACATCAATATTTGCACCAGAGGTGAAAACGATATCAGCCGCTTCTGGGTCCCCATAGATCTGATTTTTTATTTTTAAAAAAAATCAAGTGGAAATGACATTACAAAATAGAAAGTCTTATTCATCTGCACCAAGAGTATGAGAATGTAAAATGCATCTTTCTTTAATAGTAAAAGGCCTGCACAGAAGGTAACAACTCACTGAATACCACATACGTTAGCTTCAGCTGCCGGATTAACATTCCCCAAAGCAAAAAATGCACCACCAAGAATTACCACCCTCTTCACCTTGTTGGCAAAGGATGAGTCCCTCTTGACAGCCTAAACAAAGACAAAATGTGATGGTATGCATGTAGATCGAGATAAAGTAGAATTTATTTAATGACTTACCAATGCCAAGTTTGTAAGAGGTCCTAGTGCAAGTATAGACACTTCACCCGGATATTTTGACACATTATCAACCAAAAATTCGGCTGCAGATTTGTCAACTTTCTTGGACTTTGGAGGAGGTAAATTAATGTTCCCCAATCCATCTACACCATGTACAAAGTCTGCAATGCGTGGCCCTCCCCCCTGCAAACACACAAGAATGAATATCTTAGTTATTGTTTTCGACGTTTTGAAATGATTTAAACCTTTAACAAATATAACCATATCCGGTAATTAATAGTAAAAGGCAAAGTCTGTGTGTGTTAGTAGGGTTTCTAATCTCTTCAAATGATCTAATAAAATGAAGTACGAAATGATTTCAATATAAGGATGATCAATGTGTTAATAACTTTCAATCTGCAGTAGGTTTTGCATAAAAACAGATCAAGTGAAAGTGTGAAATGGAGACATCTTTAGCAATTAGCATACAAGCGACATCATGCCAAAAGACTTTTCATTCACCTTTTCAACAAAAAGTACACACGATTCACCATGCTATGTCGTTTAGCTTCTATTTTCGCATATTACATGCCGCATGAACATCGCACGGGCTATAAGACTAGCATTAGTATATAACTTATATGTAAGATCGGTAAGATTTTATTACATTTTTAAATGATTTTGTCCTACACCTTGATTTTTTTTGAAATGTTGGACTTCTATTAAAATTCCAAATGTATTCTTTGTCCAACATTTCAACATGCTATGTTATACATGGTGCCTCGATTTGTGCCGCGCCACAAGGCGTGCACATTGACCAATTTTCAAAACCGTTATGCTCCCCACAAAGCAAGAAGATATGGGTGGTTAGTAAAGTATGAAGTTCATTTGCCCAATAAAGCCACTGCTGCAACCAGATTTGGTGTCATGCATATGTAGAAACGCTAGAGAACATTTACATGATTAGATTCATAAGTCAGGTGATCTACACTTTCAAGCAGCAAGAGAGTCTACGCATGAGATTGATACTTAGTCCACTCTGATAGTCAGATAACAAGTAACCATGGATTTCTATCTAAACATCACTGGGAGATTAAGCAAGCAAAGCAGGAAGACACACATCTAGAGGAGGGTTAATAATATTAGGCATAGCAAGGAAAATGAATCACTACCTTCAGAGGTTCATGGCTACCCTCGGCAACTGGAACATCGGGATGTCCTGCAATCTCACACTATGCTTTTGTACAACAAAAAATGCATGTTTGATCATGAATATGTTTTGGAAAGACAAAAAATTCGCATTATAATAAAATCACAAGGCATACCAGAAGTAATGCATTCCGTGTAGCATCTTGTGTATAAACATTACCAAATACTGTTGTCAACCCTAATATCTCTAAATGTGGTGTCTGGAATGCCATCAGAATTGCCATAGCATCATCTGAATATAACAAAGATCTGATCAGCATTAACATGTGTAAAAGGACGAGCCTTAAGGAAGCTGAAACTTAATGGTCTACGTATATTAGGTACGGATTTTCTTGAGAAAGTGTCCTTAATTAAAATTCTCGAAAGCACTAATTACCCTTTTTTTTACATCTGTAAAAAATGACTTCAAGTTTCTTTTCTTTCCCTGGTTGGGTTAAAGAAAGTATGTAGCATATACAGTACTCCATACTACATATAAAATAACTTATTTCCAGGACATGCCACAAACCTAAAGGACCAAGTAAATGTGAAAACCATATTGGTTGGGCAAAAATACTCCTCAAACCCTCAAACCCCACACATAAAACGAGTAAAGGGAAACCAAGTAACCCAATACACTACAAAATAACTAGAAAGCTCCTCTGTATGGGTTGGAATCAGGACTGAGGTTGAGAACATACGGATTTAAGTTGAGTTCTTTTGTATCCGGAATAAAATTAGGGATTGGTCCGATCAGCTTACCGTAGTTGCATAATCTTCCGGCTTCAATTCAAAGGGAGGATTTTAGGTCCTCTAGAAAATGGGTTTGAGGGGTTTGGGCATAAATGTGTCTGGCTACAAATCTATACTAATCCATACTCCTAGACAAAGTCTTTGCAACCAAAAACTATGTATTATCTTAGAATTCCCAAATCCATAGTACGAGGGTGTTTGTATATGTGTTTGAGAGTAGATTTTGAGCTTCTACTTTGCCTAGTTGCAATTTTGTGTGCGTGGTAAATTTGTTTTTGCTTATGGTTTATGGCTTTAGATGAGCAAAACATGATCCAAAAGTGCTTTTAAAGGAAAGTTATGATCAGACTTTTGCATCTGGCTTTTGCTTTTCCAGAAGATTTCATTTTTAATCAAACACTATGAAGATACTGCATTTTAGTGCGTAGAATCCTGAATCCACAACGAGAACAGTAGAAAATCAAATAAGATCACTGGAATTAAATCAAACTACAAAACACTTCAGCATAAATTAAACTAACTCATAAATGGAAGAAATTAAACTCACCAATTCCAGGGTCTGTATCGATGATGATCTTCTCCCGTCCCTTGGCAAAGGAATTGCACTGGATCAGCAACCCATCGTCAGACATGATCGTTTCTCTGAAAATCAACGGATCACGCAGCAATAAAAGAGACTAAAAGAGAAGGAATGTGAGGAAGGGTCAATCTTGGATCTTGTAATTTCAATCTTGTAGACTTCCTGTACATATATAAGAAATATATAGTGTGCGGGTTAGGTGAAAAGATGAGATGAGGAGATCGATGTTCCCTTTCTTTTCAGGTCTCCCCAACCCAGAAGCAGAGACCCAGTGCAACTGCAAGTGGTCGAGTATTTTGCAGTTTGGCCTTGTTGAGGTCAAAACTCAAACTATATACTCCCGTGGTCCGTGGATAAGAGATTGCCATCCAATCCTATATATATATATATATATATATATATATATATATATATATATATATATATATATATATATATATATATATATATGTAAAAGAGAGTTCAATTGTTGTAGTGTTGTCATGTGGCATGCCACATGTGCATCCACATGTGCACTCACTAATGATGTGGACTTATGCATTTAAATTCATTGGTCCATTTTGATTTTTCTAAAAGATCTTTGAATGCATTCGCATAAAACTTTTTCATTTTTTAATAATTCTATAAATATATATTTCATCATTGTAAAATATACTCCATATTATATATATAAATATATATACTTATTTTTATACTATCCACAACTTATTTTAGTTTATTACTTTTTAAAAAATGATTATATAAATTTAATCACATATGCATATTTATTAATTAAATAATTTGTTTCAAAAATTTTATCTTATTACATTATTTATTCTATTGCTACAAATATTTTTTAACAAACTAAATAAAATAAAATTACTTTCGTTGAAGGGTAACGACTGACAAGTGACATTATGACACATATACATTCTCTAATGATGTACTCCCTCCGTCCCATGAAACGTGGGACATTTGCTTTTTAGGAGAGATTTAAGGAAGTGTATTTTGGTATTGAATTTCCAAAAATGTCCTTTGATGTGATGGGTAAAAGTATGATTTGATGGATAGATTATTAGTAAAAAGGTATGATGTGATAGTTAGGGTATAAAAAAGTAAGGGGTAAAAGTGACTTTTTAATAGAAATGAGAAGTGTTTTGTGGGACGGATAAAAAAAAAAGGGAAGTGTTTGACGGGACGGAGGGAGTATCATTATGTAATTAATCTACTTTTTATTAAAATATTTTATTAATTTAAACTTTTTTTATTAGTACTAAATTCAATAACCATTAATTTTATAGAATTTGTTTGTTTTTAAATAACATACCAATATATATTCAACCAGTTTAAAATATATTTTGTCACTATTAAAAAATAAAACAACTAAAATTATATTTATACAATCTCAAAAATTTAGAATATATACGAGCCCGTGCGAAGCACGGGGTTAACACTAGTTATTTTGTAACACATGGTTCAACTCTAGAAAACAAGCTCCAAATTTCACTAGTGCATCCAAGTTTCGCATAAATAATTATCATCTGTGTAATCTGTGTGAAGCTTGGGCACACCCATAGTAGCAACTATTTGGAGGCACCCTAGCGTGCCTCTAATTAAAAAACTTTATGATTCCTTCAAAAAAAACATTGTGATAGCAAAAGACTTTATTGTCTAGCAGTATGAACATGAATGACATTCTCAAATGGCAAGTCACGAGTTTGAATCTCAGTGGAAGCAATAACTCTTTCCAATTATGTAGATTAAAAAATTCTTTTCGGTCTCGATCACCCCTATTTACCAAGTTTGGACAAATGTTCTTCTGAAACAAGTTTGATCATTGAATTCGACCGAACTCGTGCCCATGTTGCAATTCCGACCAATCAAATCGATCGATCTGAAACGATTTTGATACCATTCATTGTGGTGACTAAAGGTGAGTAGGGTAAAAGGCAGCCACAAAGATTGATTAAGCATGCTAATGGTCGACAAAAAGCATTTGCAAGGAAATAATCTTTTGCAGGGATGAAATAATCAGTTAAAACAATTGCAGAAGCAACCCTTTTGGGATAGTGTTGTCCTAATAATTGCGGAAGCAAAACATTTTATATTAATCAGGGTCTGAAATAGTAGATGCAATATATACGAAATATATACATCACGGCTTACATCGTAATCATAATATCTAAAATCAGGTATTCAAGCATCTCATCCATCCTCAGCATCTCGTCCAGCTCTAGTACCTAGGCACAGTAAAACTACCAAAGTGTACGCTTAGCAATTTTGATGAGTGGCACAATACAATAAAACATATAAGCTTTTCCTTTTCGAAATTTTTTTCTTAGATAATACATTATCTAGGTCATCATATCATAAACTTTCTTTATCACAAATGTATATCAATAGTCTAAAATGTACTAGCTTTTATATTTATCAAAAAATTGGCATTTCATCAAAACTTGGGTTCAAACTCTTAAATTAATTTGGTATATTAAATGTATTAAACTGAATTTGAAATTAGATTCTGAAATTTTGAGAAATTCTTAAACTTGGATCTGTCTTTTATCTTTTTTGTAAGCCTTAACTATCCCTATATACTGGTTTATTCCAACTCCCCATCTAATGGGTTAAAGCTCCCTTTCCCGTGCACATGAGCTACTTGTACACAAATACTCAGTGATCATGATCTAAGCGTGCGTATTTTTTCTGTAGAGTGATTCAATGGTGGACCTAAGATCCAATTGGACTTTCTCACATATTTTTTTAATCTAAAAATGTTTATTTGAACAATTGAAAATGCTAATTTAGCATATTTGAAGGTCCAACATGGATTTATGTACATACTCCATCCGTTCTAAAACGTTTTTTCCAGTAATTATTTATATAGTCAAATTTTAATTACTTTCTTTACCTATTTTCCTCAGTTATTTGATAAAACAATATAGTCTTGTCATTTCATATTTTGTAAAACTTTTGATGTAATTTTTTAATATATAAATTTTATTTTGTAATTTTACACTTACATTATTTAAAAAATTTGAATTGAAAAAAAGTCGGTCAAACCTCGCAAGAATGCTTCTTTGGTGCTCCTTTAGATGCATATCAATTTTGTAGACCTTCTCATATAAAAAATATTTTTATTTAAAAATTTTTTTTTTGAGTAATAAAAGAGATGTTTATTTTATTTATATGTAGGTCCATGGTCTACCATAGATTTTGTAATCTCATAAACAGAAACGAGAGAAACATTTTAGGACGACGAAGCAAATTCTATGGTGCACATTAGGTCAATCATGGATCTACGAGCAAAATAAGAATTTTTTTACTATGTATTTGTTTTTTAAAATAGAAAAATTTAAAAAAAAATACTCCGTATTTTTTTATGTAGTCTACAGAAATTGCGGGCCCCGCGGCAGTGCAGAACCGGTGAATTTATTCTCTGGACGTCTTGGACGATCAGGCACGCAGCTTGTTTTGAAGAGGGCACCGTCGTAGACTGGCCGTCGAGGGTTTCACAGAGGGCATCACCGCGGACGGGAGTGACCGCAAGTGACCTATTCAGTGTGGGTCCGCCCCTAGTTAGACCAGAAACCACATGGAGCCACAACCGCCGCCGCCTAGCGAACGGTCGTCACCGCCGGAGCAGCCAGCACCTGCATCACTATCATCCACTCCGCTTCCAGCAGCAGCAGAAGCATCATCTCCGGCGAATTTTGCCCTAAACCCCACCACTTCTACTTCCGTGACCCCAACCATACAAATCACCCAACCAAGACCCGCTTTGGAGCCGCCGTCCTCCTTCCCTAGTAACCGTCAACAGCCGTCGTCTTTCCCGCAGCACATGGTTCCCCATTCTTCTTCTCCGTTGCCTTCCAGGGATGGATTGGTAATTGGGGTTCCTGCCCCGCAGCCTGGCCCTTCTCCGCAGCTCTCCTCCTTTTCATCATTGTCCCCGCCTTCTTTCGGGCAACAATTCGGGGTTTTGGGTCGTGGAGTGCCTAATTCTCTTCCTACTTCGAGCTCAGCCCAGGTTCTGATTTTCTGTTCTATTGCACAAATGTAAAAGATGAAGAACTAATTAGTCATAGAATGCATCAATTATGCTGCCAATGTGTTCATATTGTCTGTTGCTTGCTATTTCTATTTAGGTATGTGCCTTTTTTATGGGTGAGAAATGATAACTATGTTGATGTAGGACAGTTTTTATTGTTTTGAAATGTTTAGGGGAGACAACCTGTACAAGGGATGCCAGGGATGGGAATTACTGGGTCTCTTGGTTCGAGTATGCAAATGCGACCAGCTGGGGTTCCTACGCAGCCGGTGAGATCTATTACAGCATCACTCAGACAGAATAACCAGTCTCCTTCTCAAGTGAGTTGGACTATATAGATATATATTTTTTTTCAGATTTGCCCATTCTGTATCTATCAGGTTCCTTTTGGCAGCTCACTAGTTCAAGTTCAAATTTAGTTAAAGAGATGGTAGCTACACTTAGGTTTAGTGGTTTCTTTATGCATCAATTGCATTCTTGTTGGTTTGGAAATGACTTTTGTCTGTTTTTCACCCCAATGTCTTCTTTAATGAATCCATTTTTGCAGCAATTTTCTTGCCATTTGCTTTATTTTTGGTCAATATCTCTTTTACCCAATTTTCCGAAACCTAAATTCCAATTTAAAACTTCTTCAATCATTCCAAATTTTCTATTAGAAGTTCTTTCATACTAGCTATTAGTTTTCAAGGGGGGTTTAGTTCAAATTCCACATTGGTAATGAAAATGGTTAAATGAATAATCAGTTTGGTCGAAAAATTTAATTAATGTGTCAGAGGTAGTTAATGAAAAGCATAGAATCAGTGAGGAATTGCAGCTGCAGGTGTATACCAATATTTTTAAGCAGCATCCATGAAATTGATTTTATTGTTTTTCACATTTGACACTAATAAATCTAACTGGGATTGCCAACCAAGAACCCCCTCAATCTTTCTTTTTCATCAATAAAATTAAATGTTGACGGAGATGCCACAACATGATATCCCATTTTCTGTCATCATATTCAATTTGCAAAAAATTGCATACTATTATCCAGATAAAAATTGGTCATTTGTATACAAACACTAAATTTTAGGATATAGGGTAAAAAGCAATTTGGCCTTTCATTTTCACTAAAGATATAATCCAGTAAATCCCAATTCGGTTGGGGTCCTGGTTGGGGTCTAAGGGTCAATTTTCACCAAACATGTCTGAAATATAACAAGGGCATATTTCCTCTAAAGAGCACTTTTCACTCAACCAAATGACCATTTTTTGTGTGGTTATCAAAGTGGAGCACTGGACCTACAAATTTTAGGCACCAAAATGGATGAATCTCTACATGTTCTCCTCGACAAGTTTTTTTGGCACGTCAGCCATTGAGAAGTGTTGTGATATAGACAGTGTAGTTTTGTAGTGTTGACAACTTAAAGAAAAGTTTAAGTTGATCAAAGATGATAGATTGTAGGTGTAATGAGGGACATCATAGCATTTTTCTTAATGAACATATGTTAGATGATAGATAAGAGTGCGAAAAGGAGGAATTTGGTGATCGACCCCTAGAGATTTTGTATTCATTCATGTAGCCAAGATCATTGATTTAGGATTAAGGCTGGGTTGTTGATGATGTTGTAGGATGGAAAGAATATGAAACAGCTTTGATCCTGATATTGTAAGAGTGTTGTTTATTACTTCATTGCAGAAAAGACACATGTCACAAACCTATAATAAGTTTATAACCATTTTTCTCTCCTGTATTTACCCTTTGTAGAATTTTCAAGGACATGGCATGTTGAGATCTCCAAACACCCCTAGTACACCGCAAAGTCCACAGTCACAGAATCAAGCATGGTTATCTTCTGGGGCACAAGGCAAACCACCTTTGCCTCATCCTTCCCCGAGGCCTCAACTGAGCACACAGTCTTTACAGCAACGATCTCAAGTTCGTCCACAGCAGCACCATTCTGTCTCTACCAGTCAGTCTCAAGAGAATATGGGGCAGCAAGGTCAATCTCCAAGGATTCAACTACCCATTTCCAATGCACAACCAAATATGAGGAGTCAAAGAATTGGAGTTCAAAGACCTTCATCACAATCAATGCTGCATTCTGCTGCTGCTGCTGCTCAATCTGGACCTCTCAATAAGACTGCTGCAGAGACTGAGGAACCTTGTAATAAGATTCTGAGTAAGAGAAGCATTCAAGAGCTCATGACCCAGGTGAGCAACACACATTTTACTTCTTCTGCCTTCATTTTCAATATTTCCTTGATGTAGCAGGCTGTGTTTTTCTTGGAGAGACATGATAACAACTTATTATTATCATTGTTCGAACAGTTGCAACTTACAGGTGCTTTTCAACTTGCATTTGTTTTGTTTCCTAATAAATTCAGAATCTTATGAGCATTGAGAGTTTACATGATTACTGTCCTAGTAGTTTAAGAATGCTAGAAACTGAAGCAATTCCAGTTCCCCTGATAATCTTCCTGAAATTTAGTACAACTAGTTCCACAGGAATAGTGGTGGAGAGAATGGGAAACAATTATGATCAGAGAAAATATCTTGATGTGATGCTTTTCTACAAAAGGGAGAGGGTATGATAATCATGTCAGCATAGATTGAATTATTTGAATATGATGAACGTTTAGAGAATAAACTTGTTGGTAGTATAAATGGGGATCCAAAAATCAATATTTTCTTCAAGCAGATTGCTCAATTTGCATATTCTCATTCCACCATTATTGTCTTTATCACCACCCTAATCCCAAAATGCTGGGGTTGGTGAGATGGTGACATTTAACTTAGTTCCAAATTCCAATGATCTGTTCAAAGTTTATTAACAACAAATTGATTAAAAAAATATAGTGGCAATGCTTTATGTTGGAGATGCTCTTCCAGTCACAAACCTTCAATTGATGATATGGTAAAATAAAAATCTAGAATCATCATCTTCATAGGTTAGTTTTGCATGCATGAAATTTATCATGGGAACGGTATGAGTTAATATACAGAGAATTTTATATGCCATGTCCACTGGCACTGTCACCTTTTTTTTTACTATGTGATGCATCTAGCCAATATAGTCCACATTACTTACTTTCAAAAGCTATATATTTTTAGCATCTTGTCATTGGGTTTTTATATGTTCTTAGCATCTTGTCATTGGTTTTTTTTTGCTTTAACACAATTATTTATTGCTTCCATAGCTTTGTTCATTAATCTAGTCCATACATTTGACTGACACTGTCATTGGTAGATTGATCCATCCCCAAAGTTGGATCCTGAGGTTGAAGACATCTTTGTGGATATTGCAGAAGAATTCGTAGAATCTGTAAGTTTTATGTGGAATGACAGTTTGCCTACTTATTGATCTTTCAACTAGGATTGATTTTGGCCAAGACTTTTAGTTTTCAAATATCAAATGAAATTTCGTTTGATTTTCTGCGATTTGTATAATATTCAGATTTTAGTATAACTTGTGCTGTGCCTGGCTGGCAATTGGGCATCATATCTGTAAAGTTATTTGTGATTCCCGAGCATATTGTATCAGGAACCAACTTACTAAGTACTCCGTATCTTGTTTCCTTACAATGTCTCATGAACTTCAGTGTCTAGAATTTTCTTTATCCTTTTATGCCCCATATTTTGGTCACAAATTATATGTCACAGGCATGTTAGGCATGTGGCAGACTCATCCTTGGTAAATGTAAACCCTAATACTCACAATATTTATGGTCAGTATTAAATAGAGTCCTAATCTATTAGGAGATTGATATTAGAAATATTTACAATAAGTAGAATAGCAATACCAATAGGAAACTTTTACTCGGGCATCAGTTACTCATAATTGTAGGACTAGCTATTACTAGTAGTAGTAGTGCTGGTGGTGGTAGTAATAATAATAATAATATGGTGGTAGTAATAATAATAATAATAGCAATAATAATAATAATAGTAATAATAATAATAATAATAATATGTCCATATCCTGATATTTTGGTTGTAAATTTGGATTATACTTGAAATTATGAAGACGTAACTGGACAAACTCACAAGCCTTGTTGGGTGATAGCTGTCATTATTTAAATAAAAGAGTTCTTCTATAAGTTTCTCTGGATAGACATGACCAACTTTGCACTGGAAGATTTAATTCATCCATCATAACTAAAAATTGGATAAATATTGCACTATTTGAGACCAACATGCTCTTGTTCAATCAGCCTGTATCTTGAAATGTTTCATTATCCTAGCTCTGTAGTTGCTCACTTCCTATAAGGTATGTTGTATCTTTAATTTTTTCCCCTCATATTTGTTCAAACAGCTTACAACCTTTGGTTGCTTGTTGGCAAAACACCGCAAGTCCTCTACATTGGAAGCAAAGGACATCCTTCTACATGCTGGTGAGTTACATTGTCTTCCGTATTATGTTAGATATTGTATCAGTGGTTACGTTTACAGTGATCAATGCTCAATGCTTAGTTCATGGTTTTGATCAGAAAGGAACTGGAACATTACTCTTCCTGGATTTACTGGGGATGAGATTAGGACATACAAAAAACCTGTAAGTGTTTTTTTCAATTACTTTGCAACTTATGGTAGAATCCCTTTAATTTAGTGACTCATATTCTTAAACTCTTTGGTGTATTTTGGTTTCCAGCTCACAACTGACATTCATAGAGAACGGCTGGCTGCAGTATGTATTAGTCCCTCTTCTTTTCTTATGGAAAAAGTTAAATAGAGTAATAGACATTCAAAAAGGGAATTCTGTTTGAGAATGTTTTTAGTACAAAGATGACATTTATTTTTTAAATACAGAGTATAAGGGGTGACCCCCTCGCCCCCAAAAAAGTCATTTTTAACAAAAAAGCTAATTGTCATTATATCCATTTTTTTAAATAAAAAAGTTTCTCAGACATATTAAATACGGAGTATGTTTTCTTCAATTAAACCAACAAATAAATAGTTCTACCATTCTAAAATAAATACTCTGTAGAAAATTATGGCTGCAATGATTTCAAATAGTTGTACCTTACTAGAATAAAATAATAACTTTGCTAAAACATGATTCCTTTTTTGGTACGGAGGGAGTGTCTACTTGTTCTGTATTTAATCTTTGTATGGGGGGAACTCTGAAGATGCCAATAGACCACTCTTTCATGAGCCATATTTCTCTGTTTTTCACTGCTTGGCAGATAAAGAGATCTGCTACAAAGACAACCAATCCAAAGAGCTCATCTGGACAAAGTGGAAATTCAAAGACTCAATTTGCAAAAGGTCCTAGCAATATTTTGACTTCCCCTAATGCAAAGACCTGAAACTGTGTGAAGAACTTCTCTCTGATTAGGGATGGGCTGGCTGGGCCATCTTAGTTTAAGCACACGAGGTTTGATCTTTCTCATGGAGCATATACTTTTGCCATCTAGTATCATTTGCATCCTTCTTTAATTTTTAAATCATGAAATTGCATAACAGTCCTTTCGCTCGTGAAATTGAAATATTTGGCATTAGTTTTTTGTCATCAAACAATGCATCTATTAAAATCTTTTTGTGACAAAATGCATTTCTCCACCACATCAAATGCAGTTTGATGTCAAAGGTTGCTTCTGCTGTGGCGATTACGCTTGAACTCGAACTACGTTTTACGTCATCCTTACCATGTTACTAATAGGAAAACCGGGCGAAGATGATGATAATCCATACAGTAGATGGGCCAATGAGATTCGTATATGCGAAATGCGTAAATGTAAATCTAAGCAATCAAAAGACTGCCCTTTCTGTGCCACGCCGTCATTCTTAGCAATGGCGACAATGCAAGTTTTTTTGCTTCAAGGAGGATTAGAGGCAGGGATGGATGGCAGTTCATGGTGTGGAATATTTCATTTATTTATGTAAAGAAGTATGCCAAGATATCTTAATATACAACATTGTTAATTAGCTAGATTTAAGGGATTGTGATTCACCCCAATCCCCACGTTATATGCAGTACCCTCCCCAGAGGGACACCTTTTTAATTTTAGTAGGATACATGAATACAACTATAGAAAACCATTAAATTTAGTTGTATTTCAAATTTATTTGTTAGTTTAAGAGAATTTAAAACAGTTAAAAGTTGGGTAAATTTCAATAATAGTACCTGAATTTTTATAAAAATTTTGATTTGGAACCTGAACTTTAAAATTTTTCACAAAAGTACATGAACTTTTACTATCTTTTGACTAAAAGTTTCTTTGTCCATTACCAGGTGACATGTTAGTTTGCGTCAAATTGTAAAGTCCAAATTTTTATTTTTTTACATTGACCTCCATTTCTTTTTTTTCTTCTCCTTACACTCTCATAATTTATATTCTTTTTTTGAACCTACTCCTCTTTTTTTCTCTCCTTTCTTTTTCCACTCTTTTCTTTTATTTTTTTGTTTTTTTCTTTGTTTTCTTTTTTCTTATTCGCTATTTTGTCCTTTTTTTCTTTTGATCTTTTTTAACTCTTTATTTATTTTTATTCATTTTCACTTTTTATCATTTCTTTCCTTTTTATTTTATTTTTCTTTATTCTATCATCTTTTTTTATTTTTTCCTTTTTAAAAATGTTTTCGGTGTTTTGATTATCTTTGTTTGTTTCCGTTTGCTATTTTTTTCTTTAGTTCTTTTTTGAAATCTCTATTTATTATTTATACTTTTTCTGCCTTTTCTCATTTCTCAATTTTTTTCTTTGTTGTCTTTTCTTTTTGTTTTTCTTTCTTTTATCCTTTATTTATCTGTTTTGTTATTTTGTCTTTTATCTTTTATGTTTTCTGTTAAAAATTTTGTCAGAGGTGGCTTTTTAGCTTTGCCTTTTCTCGAGCCTTGGCTCACAACGCTCATATCCACGGTAACAGACTCTTTCGACATTTTAATATATTTTTATTTTGATAAAAAAAAAACTATATTAGATATTTAAAATATTAATTATATATTGAATTTCGAAATTATAATATTAATTTATAATAATATAATATATTAGTGATATATGAATGTATGACTAAAAAATTAATATAAGTATATATTTATATATTATATACTTCGTAATATATTTATATTATTATATTCCCTCCGTCCCTAAATATTTTTCACACTTGTATTCCCGAGGTAAAATATCAAGTTTTTCAACTCATTTTATTGACATATTGGTAAAGGAAAAAAAATAAAATTTACATATCAAAAAACTACATGAAAAGTTCTTCGAAATAAGACGTGTCAAGAATATTTTATTTTATCAAATAACCAATGAAAACGTAGAAATAAACAAAAATTTCCGCGACTGCCGAAAAGCAAATTTTGTAAATATTTTGGGACGAAGGGAGTATGAATATAAAATGTATAAAGACAGGCCCGCCCAATCATTTTAAAAGGCTCTGTGCTATTTAGTACTTTGGGCTCTAAACTTTTTAAGTTAAAATAAAAGTTGTGACAATGCAAAAGTATTAATATTGGTGATTCCATTAAAAATAATATACGAAATAATAAATCTCAAGTCTTTTCATCAGTGGAGCGATAAAACCTAAGAATTGCACATGTGGCAATGCAAGTAGTTTGAATAATAACTTTTTCTTTAGAATTTGCTTTTGTCCAAAAAAAAGTTAACTTGCAAGTAGAATCACTTTTAGAATTGAAGAAACCAAATAAGAAATAATTCATTAATAATTAAAAATCAATTTAAAATTGGATTTTTAAAACTGAATTAAGTTCTTAAAACTGAATTTAGAAATGAAAAAAACAGATCAATATTATAACAAATTGAAGATGAAAAAAACAGAAAAAAAAAACAAAACAGATTAGTTCTTAAAGAACTGAAATAAAATATTATTAAAGATGCGGCCTATAAATGAAAAATCAAACACAATTGACACAAGATGGAGAAGGAACCGAAGAGCCTAGTTGAAGAACAAAGAAGGTAGAAGGAAGAGTCTTAAACATGAGTGTTACAGAGTACTTAATTAACTTGAGATAAACTAATGGGCTTTTAATTGAATTACAATGGGCCCATCATTTTAGAGACCCTGTGCAAGAGCACCCCTTGCACTCCCCATTGGGCGGGCCTGTATAAAGATTGAATAAAGATAATAGAGAGGAAGAGATTGAGAAATGAGAATTTGAAATTTGAGAGGGATTTGAGGGTGATATTTTAAAAACAATTACGAGATTATTTATAATGTAAACCCCCCCCTCCCTTTCACACGGCTATAGTTCTGTTGAGTGATGTTCCCCTCCGCTGAAAGTGCTGAATGAGTGCTGTTGCTGCAGGCCTGCAAAAGCAAGAAAAAGAAAAAAAAAATTTAACGGTAGCGGAATCAGAACCGGTACCACCGGTGCTGGTACTGAAAAACTGGCATCAGAACCGCTGGCGTGCAGGACGATTTCGGTACCGGTTCCCCGTTCCCGGAACCGGATCACCATACCCATCGCCAGTGACAGTGGCGGTATTGGCGGTACCTGCGCCAGTAACGGTGCCGTACCGGTACCGTGTCCACCCCTACAAACGGGTGTTATAAGTAATACTCCATCCGTTTGGAAAAACTCTTCCCATTTTATTTGGGGGCAAAAATAAGGAAGTGTTAAATTATACTCCCTCCGTCCAAAAAAGAACTTCCCACTTTCCTTATTCGTTCGTCCACAAAAAAACTTCCCGTTTCTATTTTAGGAAAGTTTTTGCCAATGAAATGTCCATTCTACCCTTATTCTCTACTTCCTCTCCCTTTCTTTTCTCTTTTTTTCTTTTTTCTTCTACCGTTTTTCTGCTCCGGTTGCTTTTCTCCTTTTTCTCCCTCTTCTTCATTCTTTTTCTCTTCCTTATTTGTTCTCCTTCTTTCTTCTCTTTTCATCTTCTTCTTTCTTCTTCCTTCCGTTTCTGTCTTCTTCTTCTTTGTTCTCCCATCTTCTTCTTCGTATTTCTTCTTCATTTTTTTCTGTTTTTTCTTCTTCTTCTTTCGTCAACTGGAAGAAGAATTTTTTTTTCAAATCTGGTTGCATCTTCTCTGGATCTAGGTTTGTAGTGACAAAATTTTTAATTTTTTTCCAGATCTATGAAGGGATGTTGATTTTCTTCCCTAACTAGAAGTCTAAAAATAGATCTTTGACGACGGGGGCTTGTGACGGCGAGAGATGCAGGTTGTGACGGCGAGAGGATGCCAGGGCTGCGACGGCTGGGCGCTTCGATGGCAGGGGCTTTCGACGGCGGGTGATGCGGAAGCATCATCGGCGGTGGTGCATAAGCCGCAGCGGCGGCNCAAATCTGGTTGCATCTTCTCTGGATCTAGGTTTGTAGTGACAAAATTTTTAATTTTTTTCCAGATCTATGAAGGGATGTTGATTTTCTTCCCTAACTAGAAGTCTAAAAATAGATCTTTGACGATGGGGGCTTGTGACGGCGAGAGATGCAGGTTGTGACGGCGAGAGGATGCCAGGGCTGCGACGGCTGGGCGCTTCGATGGCAGGGGCTTTCGACGGCGGGTGATGCGGAAGCATCATCGGCGGTGCAGAAATGTCAACGTCGGCTGTAGTAGACGGCATCGCAGCGGCGGCGGTGCAGAAATGTCGGCGTCGGCTGTGGTAGAGGGGGGTTGCAATGGTGGGGGCGGGTCTGCGACAGTGACAGTGGGAAGTTGTGGAGGGGAGGGGCGGTGGAGAGAGGCAATAGGGCTAAGGGGCATATTGGGAAAGTCAACACAATTTTCATCACATATAAATTTGCGTGCCCGGTCAAACCGGAAAGTTCTTTTTTGGACGGAGGGAGTAGTTGATTTCCAATTTTGCCCCTGATGTGATGGATAAAAGTAAGATGTGATGGATAGATTATTAGAGAAAAAGTTTGATGTGATAGGCAGGGTATGAAAAAGTAAGGGTAAAAGTGGTTTTTTAATAGAAAAGGGAAGTGTTTTGTTGAAAGTGGAAAAAATGAAAGAGGAAGTGTTTTTGAGAACGGTGGGAGTAATTTTTTTAATCTTTAATCCCATGAAATGAAAACTTTATGAAGCGGATTAGAGAGATTTTTTTTAAAAATTAAGATATTCCTAATGTTTATGAAAAAAATCCTTCAAAGAAACAATAATCTAAGTTAGAAACTAGGTTTTTATAAAATAAATTTTGAAAACTAAAATAAAGTTATGCACCCATCACAAGTACTCCCTCCGTCCACAAATAAACTTTACATTACGCGTTACGATGTTTGACTGAAATTATTTTTAAATCATTTTATATTAAAAATGGTGTAGAATTGAAAAATAAAAATTACATATTAAAAAATTATATCAAAAAATCTACAAAACTAGAGGTGACATGACTATATTATTTTATCAAATGGGTGACGAAAATAGGCCAACAAAATGAATAAAGTTTAACCCTGTGAATAGTGAACGTAAAGTTTATTTGTGGACGGAGGAAGTATTATATTAAGTTTTAATTTTAAAATTATGAAATATCAGCACCCATCTTTCTCAATTTTTCCTCATGCACGGCGGAGACTCCACGCCGGTACGCCCCAAATAACGATTGTCCACAGCCCACTCTTCCAGCCAAAGTGGTTTTTTGTTTTTTGTTTTTTGGTTTTAAGAAGTTTAATTTATTCTTGGTGATTAATGATGAAAAATTGACAATCTGATTTGGGGTTTTTTCAAGTTTTGAGAAATTATTATTTGGAAGAAGTATATTTAGGCATTATGTGGCGATTTTATTTATTTTTATATTATCACTTACTATGAGCCTGTTTGGAAGTAGCGTTGGAGCTTAGCATAGTTGACTCCCAACGCAGTTGTCAAGAATCGAACTTAGGTATACCCTCTTGGCACTCCATGTTTTTACCAACTAGACAACGCCCACCGGTGGATAATAAATGAAAGAACGTTGTACAAAATGTGAAAATAGTGTAAAAAGTAGGTGTAAAATATTCTCTTAGTTGTAAGAAAACAAATATTACCACCGTCATTGAGTATTTGTCCAGTTTTGATTTTTTTCGGTCAACTATTTTCAACCTTTGACTTATAATTAAATAAAAAAAGAGTATACATTAATTACATAAAATAATATTTTGAAAATATTTGATATAATAAATCTAATAAAACTATTTTTTTATCAATGTCTAATATTATTTCTATTTAATTTGAGGTCAAAATTTATCAATTTTGACTAAAAAGTTAAAAGCAGATAAATACTCAGGGACGGAGGGTGTAATTAGTATTTAGGGTATTTTCATTTAGGTAGTGTTTGAGAAATTAGATTTATTTGAAAATTTGAATTTCAATTTGAAAATTTAAATTCTTAAATTTTAAATCACAAAGCAAATATGTATTTTGTAATTGAGTTTTACTATGAAATAATTTTTTTAGATTTTCAAATATGAAACTTAAGTCAATTCTAAATTTAATTTCAATTCAAGTTCCTAAAATGGCATTAAGGAAGTAAGAAAAAAGATATAAAATCATTCAAAAAAACAAACGACAATGATGAATTTTTATACACCGGCTATGAATCAGGGCGAAGAATATTATCAGAATAATTAGACTATTAAGAATTCCTCCTAATACATCCTCTGTCACTAGGGGTGTTCAAGATTATCCGACCCAAAAAATCCATCCATGATCCGGTCTGATCCGATATTTTTCATTTTCGGATATTCAGATTGCGTATTCGAAATCAGATCAAGTACGAATTTAAATTTTAGATTTTTTCAAATATTCGAATATCAAATTATTCGAAGTACTTTTTTAAAAAAATATTTTACTTTTACCGACTAAACCTAATTTCCGTCCAATTTGCTGCTTCAGACTTTATCTTTTTCGTTTCAAACTTCATTTGGACATAGAGACAGTAGACGGCAATCATTTACAGCAACCATTCGGACTTCATTCAGTCATCTCTCTTGGCCAAATCGCAGAGATGAATACGAGAAATTTCTCAGTCTCTCTACTCGACGACTTCGAGTGATCTTTCTCTCTTTGGCGACTTAGAGATGGACACGAACACATCTGCTTTTACCAAATCTATGTTGAATTTGGTAGCAATTGTGGATTGATTTTGTCAATTTTTTTTGTAAATTTTGGCTTAAAAGTTAAACGTTTTCGGATATTCCATTGATCTGATCTGAAAATTCAGATATCCAAATATTTTCAGATCGGATATGGAATGAGTTTTACTTGATCCTAAACTTTTGGATATCCGATATTATGGATCGGATTGGATCGATCCGGTTGGACACCCCTATCTGTCACTATTAACGTGGTTGATGGGGACTTGTTGTCTATCATCAATCATGTTATTTACATACATAGTATTATTTATTCCCATCATTTTGGATGTTAATACATTTATCTAACTACAATTGGTATATTGGGACTCTTATGGGTGTTGCTAAATCCACCTTTTTACTAAATTTACACCTTTTATCAAAAATAGATAAATTTATCTTAAAGTGTAAAAAACATGGAAATGTAACATGTAAACTAACTTAAAGTTAGATATTTATTGTAAAGGGAGTGGAGTAAGCAATTAAGTTTGTAAGTGTTTAATTCTATTGTTACTCCCATCGTCCTAAACTAAGTTATGTTTTATTATATACATAGTAAAACTTTATTCATTTACTCATTTTCGTTACTTATTTGATAAAATAATATAATAATGTCATCTTTTTGTATTTTTAAACTTTTGATTAAAATTTATAAATATATAAATTAATCTTTAAATTCTGCTAATTTTAAAATAATTTAACAGTATCTTTAAAAACAAATATTGTAAACGAGACAAATAATTTAATTTGGGACGAATTAGTATATTTTTTGGGTACATTTTTTTAGGGAGGGTAAAAAAAATTTATTTTTAAAATCCATTTAAATTTTAAAGTATGAAATCTTAGGAAGTTTGTTGAAACAATAGACTTGGGCTCAATTCAACCTCAAAAGTAAACTCAAGAGGTTAATTTAGCACAATATAAGGCTGCATAGCCGATGTGGGATGAACAAGTCAACACACCCCCCTCACACGAGGCGCAGATTACTACGGGCGCGGTCCAAACATCAATGGCTTAGCTCTGATACCATGTTGAAATAATAGACTTGGGCCCAATTCAACCCCAAAAGTTAACTCAAGAGGTTAAGGTACCCAAGCTATTAAATAGCAGCACAATATAAGGCTGCATAGCCGATGTGGGATAAACAAGTCAACAAAGTTCTTCTTAGAGACGGTCCTCGGTCAATCATCACTATAGCTGTATTCCGAATCTGCTCCCGACTGCCACAACCACCATTCCCGTGACGTCACCCCATCTAAATATAGCCCTATTTATTTACGGAGTAAATTATACCCTGAAATATTCTCATAAATAATCATCATCATCCTGGATCATCAGTATTCTATATTCATGATGATGCCACTGTATTTATGTGTATGTCGTCTTTACAGCTCCAAGCCGCCTTCTATGCTTACACATCGATCCATGATGATTGCGCTGCCAGCCGACAAATTAAAAAAACAAAAAGGATATACTTCGTAATAAATATAATCCACAATTCTGAAGCCATCTCAGACTCGATCAGATAGTCATTAAAACATTGGTACTTTCAGAGATTTCATATTTAGCATAGTTGTCTCTTCGTACAATTTTAAGTTGATTTTGAGGTCAAAATTATAGACTTTAAAGTCAATTATACTTGCGTGATGTAATTGACATAGGTGGGGGATGAGATGAGGTCGGGATTGGACAAGGGGTTTACCGAGAGAGTTGGAAGGGTAGGAATCATCAATTTTATGAACGGAGTATCGTCGGGAGACAGTGGCTGCTATGGCCACTTAAATCTAGAGGTGGCAATCGGGTCAACCGGATTAGTTTCAGTTTGGATTTTTTTGGTTCGGATATCTTTCGGATAGATGTTATAATCGATTCGATTTGGTTCGGATCGGTTTAATTTCGGTTCGGATTTGATTCGGTTCTATATATTTTTCAGTTCGGTTCAGTTTCGAGTCGGTTCAGATACGATTCGGTTATAAATCGGTTCGGATAGATTTTGGTTCGGATACAATTTGAATCGGATATATTTCGGTTTCGGTTCTAGTTCGATTCGAATATATTTTGGTTTAGGATAAAATATATATTGGATATATATTCTTATCTAATTAAAATTTTATTATGCATGTTTCTTTTTATGTTTTATCATATTTATCATTAATTCAATACCTCATACTTGTATTATTTTATATTTTTTTCTAATTATATTATCTCTACCCTAAACAGTTTTTCCTTTTTGACTTTTTAGTCATATTTTACAAATTTGGACTATAAATTATGAAAAAATATATATTTAATTATGATATATATTTAATATAATTAAATTGATTTTAAAATTTAGTTTTGATATATCAAATTTTTCTCACATCTACTAATATATTTATGTTTATAAATGAAAAGATAAAAGATAAATTCATATAGTGTGATGTTCCATTTTAATAAAATTTGATAAAAATTGAGTGAATTTGGATGAAATTAAGTAATTTTATTCAATTGAGTGTAAAATTTATAAATTTTTTTAGTGTATTTCGTTGAAATTAGATAAAATTAAATTTAATAGAGTCAAATATAATTAATTTTACACCTAAATGTAATGGGGTTGATCAAATTTCAAAATGATAACACTAAATGCTGCCGCTAGAGAGTTTTTTCAAAATGCTAACACTAACATATGATGTTATTGACTAATATTGAGTGAATTGGTTTGAAACTAATCAAATTAACTCTCAAACCAATAAAATTTATTGTAATTGGATCAAATTAGGATAAAATCTAGTTATTCCATACAATTATCAGATAATCCTTTTGTCCCAAAAAGGATATCACACTTCACTATTTAAAAATTACAGAAATTTTATTTGTTTGTGCGTTATCATTTATATGCATAACTTATCTTTAATTTTTAAATATAATAAATTTAAGGCATGAAATTTTGTACTTTTTTCAAGATGATAATCCATTTTATGAGGGAATGAGCAAGTAATGTAATTAGTTCAAACGGCAAAATAAAAGTAAAAAATTTAAAAATATAATATGCTTTTTGAAAGGCAAACACGATTCCGAATTTATCGGTTTTAGTTTTAATCGGGTTCGGATATTATCGGTTTCGGATATAATCGGTTTTGGGTATTATCGATTTTGGGTATTATCGGTTTCGGATGTATTCGATTTCGAGTTTAATCGGTTCAGATATTATTGGTTTCGGATTTAAATCGGATATGAGTTATTTAGTTTGGTTCAATTTGGATCATTTCGGGTTTTTGGTTATAGATTGGATATTCATTTTTCGGATCATTTCGGTTTCGGTTTCAGATATTTCGGTTCGGGTAATTGGTTCCGGTTCTGTTTTGCCAGGTCTACTTAAATCCAGTGGCCACTAGGCCCAGCCGATTTTAAATAGAGAGTGTAAATATAAGATCATCTCCAACTCACCTTCTATTTTTCGTTTAATTTCTAAATGCTACTCCCTCAATTTAAAAATTATATTTTCGTTCACTATTCACATGGTTAAAATGTTTTTACTTTTTTGGCTTGTTTTCGTTACCCATTGGATAAAATAATATAATCATGTTATTTCTAGTTTTGTAAATCTTTTGATGTAGCTTTTAAATATGTACTTTTTTTAAAAATTTCACACCTTTTATCATATAAAATGATTTGAAAATAACTTTTGTCAAACACCATAACACGCAACGGAAAGATAATTTTTAAACAGAGGAAATATTTTAATTTCTCAACCGTGTTTAGTAGCCCTATTTTTTTACACCCACTCCAACTTTATCATCTACTCCCATAATTAAAGACCTTGTGCCTTGGTGCAATGATTACAAGGTTACTCTTCCAAATGGAAAGTCACATGTTCAATTCTAAATGTAGCCATAATTTGATATTTGCACTTCAATAAGTTGAAAAAAATATGTATGAACATGTATTGTAATTGTAATATAGTTACTAGTGCTCAAAAAAATGCATCTGCTCCGTATATGATAGCTTTTCAGTTTTCATGATAAATTACTATTTTTAAAGTACACCCATTTTTTTAAGAGACACGGTCCACGGAACCATTTGATTTTTTTTAGATATAGTGTTAGTTTATACTCCGTATTTTAGAATGGACAAAAAAGAAAATGTGAAAAATTATTTCGAACACAAAAAAAAAAAAGAAGAGACGAAAAAAGGGACCTAGAGAAATAAAGTGAGCCACATCTGTTTGTCCAAAAATAGCAAGTAGAACTATTTATGGGATGAAAGAAATAAAAGAAAATGTGATGTAAAAGACAAAAAAACAATGGGAAATGTTAGGGTATGCTAAAATGGAATACCCTATTTGTACATCAGGTGAACATTAACACTTAGTGTTTGCGGATCACAGATACTAAGTGTCTGTGGATCACAGACACTAAGTGTGTGTGTTTGTCAGGTCCACGAATGAGGTACCCCAGTTCGATTTACGAAATTTGAATGAAATTATTTTCAATTCAATTTATATGATTATAGGTGTAAAATTAAGAAATAAAAATTATATATTTTTAGACTAGCTACATTAAAAGTTCTACAAAATAAGAGGTGTTATGACTATATTATTTTATCAAATAACTAATGAAAAATAGGTAAAGAAAGTGATTAAAGTTTGACCATGAGAATAGTGGCTAGAAAGATCATTTTAGAACGGAGGGAGTAACTACATTCAGATCAGACCAGAACTGAATGGTTTTGGGTTAGAAGACAACATGGCTATAGTAAAACCAAATCGAATGGTTTTGGTCATAAAATCAGACTGTACTGATCGAACTATTCAAAGACTAATGGTATGGTACAGGTTTTATGAAAATCTCAGAGCATCACGGATTGTGTCTACCCTAATGATGAAATTTAGGATGGGGTAAAGATAACTGGATTAGGTGTCTTGGGCTGAACTACATTAAAAGATTGAACCTAATTGATTAGTTAATTCAACTCAATAGCTTATATATCGATTATTTTACTTTTGGACTTCCGATGTGAGATGACACTCTAACACTCCCCCCTCAAGTGGACAACCGGGTCCTTTTGAATGTAACCGGTTGACCACTTGCGAATAGACGCTCTTCCCTTTTCTTTTTGAGAGCCAACACCTAAAGGATCACGAGCCGCTGGGTATGGACTTTTAGACGAGCAATCATTTTAACAGGCCACAGGCCGTTGGGTACAAACTCCATACGGTGGGGCTAAAGACTAACGAGTCGTCAGGAATGAATAATGTCTAGACGAACACCTTGACAAACGAGGTGGGCCAAAACCTTCTCTGATACCATGTTAAAATTCTGGTAGGTCGAGAACAACGGGTAGAGTGTTGGGTAAAATTAACCACTTGCGTATTAAGTCAGGATCTACTAATCTTACCCAAAAACTTAAACTGATAGGTAGGACTTCACCTTTCTGTATATGTTAGTGGTATTCTTCTTTATTTTTCGATGTGGGAACTCCAACACCTAATTTATTCTAAAAACATTTCCATATATTTTCTTTCAATGCAAAATTCCCAACTGCACTTTGCATGTCCGCCTGCCACGTGGACTCCACATATATGCATTATCTGTCTTTCCAAAGCTAAGATTTGCTCCCTCTGATGCGATCACTCTCCCTCTCCTACTATATATATACACTCCGGCCCCTCCCCTTTAAATTGACCAACTCCATTTCTTCTCTACTCTACTCCTATAACTAAGAAGAAAGTTGTAAGAGACAGAGACTTCTTCTTCCAAAGGTAATTAATTAACTTCTTTTAATTTGACTTGAACACTAATTTATATTTTCCTTTTCTTTCTTTCTTTTATATGATCGAAAAAATCATCATATCATTTTCTTCTTAGCTTCTTTATTTTTTTTTTGACAAGAAAAAGGTGGTATATATGTTCTTTAATACATGTATATATATATATATATATTATATGTATACAGGTAGATATATAGATAGAAGTGCGTGCAGTGGGTGGATGATGGAGAGGATAAACACAAAGTTGTACTTGGAGAACTGCTACATAATGGCGGAGAACGAGAGGCTGAGGAAGAAAGCGGAGGTTCTGAACCAGGAAAACCGGGCCCTTCTCAACCAGCTCAAGAACCGCCTCTCCCCACAACCCCCCGCCGCCGCCGCCACCATGATGAACAAAAACAAGAACAAGAACGCTTCCATTCCGGACCTCAATCTTGCCGCCTCCGCCGCTGCCTTCTCCGATGCTGCTGCTTCGTCTTCTTCCAAGTCGTCGTTCAAGAATTAATAATAATAATATTATTATTATTGTATGACTAGCTAACTGCTGCATTTCTAGCTAGCTGGTGATGGATGATGATGATGATGATCTTATGCAGATTATATTAGTGATGTTTTTTTTGTTTGTGTGTGTGTTTTCATTTGGTGCATGTAATATTGCTAGCTGTGTTTCGGGTAGGAAAATACGAAGTATAATTATTCTATGATAATGATGAAATTGATGATGAAAGCATGCAGAAGGAGAATTCATCAATTAAGGATATGTTTTACTCCATTTTCTTTTATATATATGATGGACTAGGTAGCTAGCTAGGCTAGCTAGGGCGCTAGGCTAATACGCAGGTGAATAATAAAAAAAGAAAAAAGATGAACTCCATCCCCATACTCCAAGGGTTCCTCTCTATGGTAGTCAAACTCTAGATTCTATGTAGGATCGATAGGAGGACCGTAACATCGTAAGATCCTTCTATAGATATATATATATGTATGTATGTATGTATGTATGTATATATATATGTAACTACGTATGTATACATGCATGTACATATGTATGTATGCATCCGTATATAGCGTTGTTCTGAACTCATGTTTTGGACAAACTAGATCAGATGCCTGGTCCATCAACCAACCAGATCCCTATAAACCATTGGCTATCCGAAAGGAGTTATGGACCCACGGGCCAACATTAGATCGGGAGGAATTCAGGGTCGAGAGTATGGTGAGATCAAGGTAAAAAACAAACAGGTTAGAAAGTAGATTGAAGGGGTCAACAAAGAGCAAACCCTGTGGGATTCAAAACGTCCTGCTCTAGATGACGTCTTGGCCACCTTGTCCTTGATGCGCTTATCTTGTAACTTAGATCAGCAGCTTGACATGAACATCCCAAGTCGAGGGGACAGGGTAGGTAGAAAGTTATTGAGGCAGGAGATGGAAAAAGACAAGCTGCATGAAAACCGGGAGGCGAATAGGTCCCGAGAGATTTGAGAGATTTTGCATACACGGAAAGGAGAGATTGTAAAACAAAATCTGATCGACGACGCACTCAGTAGGTCGGGTTGGATCCTCCATGCAGTATGTTGGTGCTCGGAGGAGAGATGACGAAGCACAGAGTTCCCAACAGGCACCACTGGGAACACGACACCCTAATAGAGGCCGAGAGGAAAGATCCTTGAGAGTGCGGGATCTCTGCAAAAAGGATCAAGAAGTTACATGTGAAGAATACTCCTTTTTTATGATGGGTTACGGCCTACCCATACCTAATGGGGTTTAAGGTTCCACCCGTGAAGAGGTATAATGGAGAGACTAGACCGAAGGAGCATTGAAGATGTTTTTACAATAAAATGCAGGCCATAGGCGCTGACAATGACCTGATCTGTCGCTGCTTTTTTGCAATCTGTCGATACTCGATAGTATGACCACAGGCTAGTTGGATTCCATTCCCCCGCGAAGCATTGATAACTAAAAGGACCTAGCGACCAAGTTCGTGGAATATTTTGTTGGGAGTTGGAAGATGAAGAAACACTTCACACACCATGCCTTTTAGGCAAATGAATTGCGAGTCACTAAAGAAGTTCATCGCTAGATAGAGGGAGGAGTCTCGTGAGGTGGAAGGAGCAAATGACAAGTCCTGCTTGGCGATGCTCACTGCCTTCTTCCTGAAAGGCCCATTCTGTGCCGACCTGACTACCCATTCAGTTGATTCTTTTAAGAAGGTCATGGCTCAGGCGGATAGATGCATTGTCTTTGAAGAAAGTGAATAAAATTCAATCACGTGAAGGGATAAAAAGCATAGTATAATTATTACGAAGGATTTTTTAATTTAAAATATTGATATTTTTCCCAAGTCAATTTAAATTAACAAAATATTCATAATTTTTGGATCATAATTTTGTGTCATGTAAATTAATAAAAAAATCCCCAATAAAATTATACTCTGTATTATTTATACTAAAAATGAAAGAAAAAATAATAATGAGTATGTATCACAAAAAATAGTTACATGGGAAAAATAAAAATTTAAAATCTAAATAATTCATAAATTATAGTTATGAACATAATAGTAATAGTAATAATAATAATAATAATAATAATAATAATAATAATAATAATAATAATAATAATAATAATAATAATAATAATAATAATAACAACAACAACAACAACAACAACATATCATTTTTAGATCCATTATTTGGTGAGTAGAAAAAAATTGAAGAAAATAGGAATACTTGCAAAAACAGGAAGAACTGTAAAAAAACAAGAAAAACTTAAAGAAATTGGAAAAACTAGAAAAAAACTAAAAAATGAAAGAAATTACTCCCACTACTACAAAAAAAGGCAAAAAGACTGTCATCAATTGCATCGCATACAAAAATAACCGATGCAAAAGAGCAAAGGCATCGGTTGTTTTTTAAAAGCGATGCAATTGTTTTTTTAAAATTAAATTTGGAAAAAAGAAATAAGTATTAGCATCGGGTATCTAACTGAACCGATGCAAATGCTCAATGGCATCGGTTGTACAAAACAACCGATGCTAATACCTATTTTTTTTTTAATTTTTTCAAATATTAATGCAAATGCATCGGTTGTTTGCAGGAGTCGATGCTAAAACTAAAGCTTAAAGTTTCGAAATTTTTAAAAATACAAAGGCATCGGTGTTCTTTAACAACCGATGCCAATACTCTTTTGTATTTTGTTAATATAAATTACTAGTATATTGGACCGTAAACATACTTTTAAATGAGTTTATTTTATAATGTTTAAAACTTTATATGTGTGAAGGAGATAGGAGGCGGCACATTCTATCAAAGACGGTTAGGTTTAGTGAGAACTGGAACTCTGCTCTCGTCTACGGAGGAGACCAGACTGAAGGCTGAGCTCGACGGAGGAGACGGGACGGAAGACTGAGCTCTCGTCGATGAAGGAGAGAAACTGTGCCGACCATCTGCGCTGCATCTAACGCGAAGATTCTAATCTGACCTTCGCCGGACGGATATTGACGGCGGCCATAGAGCTGAAAAGGTCCGAATCTTTGAACTATTTGTTGCCTTTGGGAAATTTCTTTTATAATATCGGTTGCTGCTTGTGTTGGTTTCGTCATCTTATATTTTTATTGTTGATGTGTTTTTGCTCAACTGACAGGGAATCCGTGATTATGATTGTTGGAATGTTTGATTATGTGGGTTAATTTAAGATTAAGTATGGATTCTCGAATTGAGTTTGATTTGGAGTTTGAATTGGGGTTATGTTGCTTGATGTTCTTGGGGTTATGTTGAATTGGGGTTATGTTGCATCTGTTTAACTTGGTGCATCTGTTTGTTGGATTCTTTCACTGCTTGCTTGCTCTGCTCTGTCGCTGCTGTTCATGTGCCATTATATATGCTAGGTATATGTTTTTCTTGAATAACATAATGCATACTATAAGTTAAACAAAAAGGGAGAAAAATAGGAACGTAGGAAAATATTCATACTTACATTGGTAGGAGCTAAAGAGAGTTGAAATTGCAAGGGACAAAATAAGTGAACATTTGAAGCTAATAGCCACCATTGTTATGATTAGCTCTTTGTGTTTTTCTTTCTTTCTTTCTTTGAGGGAACTTGTTTATATGTGTGTGTGTGTGTGTGTCAATTGTCTAGGATGATCTTTTCATTGAATTTTTACTCAACTACCTATATGTTATTATGATAGAGTCATATATGATGGATCGAAGTTGGATTGATATGCCACGAACTTCGCCAGAGTTTTGTAAGGGTTTCGATGAGTTCCTTAGCTTCGTTCAAAAATATTCAAGGGAGGGAGAAATGATATATTG